AAAAATAAATTATTGATAAAGCTGCCCTCAAGTGTGATTGATGGCCTTGACTGATACATTGAAAATGCAAAGGACCCTTTCATGAGCGATACGAACCCAAGTGAAAACGGATGCTGAGCAAAACAGAGCAGCCTAAATCCCTTTGAAGCAATAAGTTGTAAGGGGAAAATAAACACCTAGTTTGCCCCCAAATCCAACAGCATGTGCACAAAATCCACGCCCCATCTACCCACCTACCTACATAGATGATTAGACCGCCTCTGCCCAAACCGGCTGCCTGTGAAAAAACCGCAGAGAAACCTGGCACGAACATGCCACTGAACAGAGGCCAGCGACTACACAGTTTCCCCCTCCGGACAGGTGCAAACTGCCGGCGAGTGTGGCGCGATTGTTTCCTAGACCGTACTTTGTAGATTGACAAGCCAGCTGTTGATGACGTCATAATAGCTTTTAAAGGCAAACCAAATGGTAAAATCTGTGTTGTTGGTAATGCAATTTGGAAAACGGATCATCCAGAGACAGAGAGGCATAGTCCCCTCTCCCTACCTTGAGCCGCCCATTAAAATTGGGGACTCGAAAACTAGCGAAAATGTCATGGTGGAGGGGCGCCGAACATTGGTGCCACCACCAAAGGCCCTAAGTCTTCATTTTGGGGAGAAGTTAAGCTCCAGCCGGTCAGCACACACAAATGGACACCATACCGACTTAAAATAGTCCACGTGGGCTTAATTGGGTCCATGGACGCAGCATGGGGAAGGTGTGTTTCAAATGCTGCCCAATGGATCGCGCCAATAAACGTTCATGAACCCCTATAATAAACACAACCGAGGCAGCACTTGCATCAGCATGAGTACTCAGAGATGAACCCCCCCCCCCCCCCTCTCCCCGCCCCGCCGCTAAAAAATCCAGGCTGCGTCCTGCCTCCGGGAAGCCACAACAGTCGGCGGCAGACGGTGCCAGGACGTGGCTGAAGAGTGCAACGCCCTGCGCGCCAATCCAGCAGTCACACATTCCTTCTGGCTGTCTCAGCTAGGAGGCGGGCGGCCCCAAAGCAGCGACCACCACTGACCTCGTGACGCTCACACAGCGGTGCGAGTTATGGGCAGTAACCGGACCACCAGTGGGGCGTGCTGTTTAAGGCCGTGAAGGCGCCGATACTGAACTTCTGAACTGGACGACCTGGTAAAACCACATGCGTGTTCAGCGCTAAGGATTACCTTGACGACGAAGAGTTTCATGTAAATCTAAGCAATGAGTTTGCAAGGCACCGGCCGACCTGCCCTGGAACTCCGCCGGCAGATCTGTGCGTCCACCTTGCCCTTCCAGCGGATCTGTGCGTTCGTCCCGCCCTTCCAGCGGATTTGTGCGTTCGTCCCGCCCTTCCAGCGGATCTGTCCGTCCGTCCTTCCGCGCAAGTGGATGCGTGCTTCCATCCCGCCAGCGGAGCTATGCGTCCACCCGCCGGCGAATCTGTATTGTTGTGCGCGATGTCACGACGGTGGTAGAACACCTGTATGGGCCTGGCCCGTGTCATGAGCGAGAGGCCAGATGTTTTCTGCGGCGGCTGATGGCTGCCGGCGCTCTGTAGCGGCTGGTTCGCGCCGTCCCCGCAGCTGCAGCGCCGCCCGGTCACCGGCCGCCATACAGCTGATGCCCGGGTCTGACCCGGCGCCGGCGGTGACCTGCATGACACCCACGCGAATCCAGATGAAGTCACAGTCATGCTTTGGGTAGTTCGTTATGCCCGCCATTGTTAAGTAACACTGGGAGATGAGCGCAGAGCACATGGAAATAATGTTCAAGCGTGGTCCGGCAGCCCAATATACAAGTCGGATGGACCCGTGGCGTGAACGTTAACGGTGTATGCTCTTCCATAACAGAAGACGAATAACACGTGCGCCTGAAGCGCATTTCCGAAGCAGTACCTTCCGGCTGTGCTGGTGAAGCTTCCGTCCGCTGCGCACGAGGCGCGCCGCAGCTGCGTGTCCGATGGCTGGGTCGGCTCCTTTCACACGGCGCTCTTCGTGACATGTCCGATGATGCTGAATTGCGTACGAATGAGTCCGAGCTCGAATTTATTGACTACTTCAAATCACCGACAGGCAAATCGACATGCATATTGATGATACCTTCCGGTGGGTTATAAACACTGGGAGATATTACACAACCCTGCCAATGGCAATTCCAACCAATGTGCAGGGTTCCCAAACGGCTACTGAAGCCTAGCAGTCTGGAAGAGCCATAGAGGAAGGGAGGCGCCCGTATAGAGAGGGCGGGAAAGGAGGAAACTGAGACCGAGCAGGGCAAGGAAAGCTGAAATCGTGCGCCGCTGCATGCTGGCTGAGACACCAACGCACCCTACATAAATTTCGTATCAGAAAGGGAGGGAGAAATGAAACAAAAATAAGGGTTATTAGTAACATAAAGATCCAAGAACGCGTAACCCACGACTAGCGCAATATTTCCACACAGCCAAACAACCGGCGATTTCACGACAGCTCGGGGCGCCACAGTAACAGAGCGCCCCTCCTCCGTCGGGCGCCGTAGAAAAGACAACAACCCACCGCTCCCTCGCCCGCTAACCCAGGAGCAACCTCTCGGCGCAGACTGGACAATCGCTGGCTGGCCAATGGCAGGCGGTGGGACGACACGCCGCAGCTCGCTGCACTGTTCAGAGTGACACCGGCACTCCCACACCAACACCCCATGCCAGGCCTTGGCGCCTCCATCCCTGACGCGCATGCGTGCACAACCTCTCGCATACGGCCACACCAGAACGGCAACCATTCGCCACTACCTTGGTTCGGGCAGAGGGGGTCGGAGGAGCCGTCGGCAACGATCGCCCCCAGATTCACGGGCCATTTCAATCGCGGCAGGGGCCGAAACCGGGGACAGATAAGAAATTCCGTGATGCGTGCGGGCGGACGAGGGGAGGGGTCGTACGCGGTCCGACTCCACACCGACGGACAAGCGCAGGCACACGCCTCTGATTTGGTACGGGAGAGCTGCTGCTGCTGCTGCTGCTGGCGGTGGTGCTGCTGCTCTGCCAGCGGCGGCGGCGGCGGATCGGACCGGTCTACATGACAAGTTTGCCTACGATGACGCCGATGACTAGCGCCACGGCGGCCATCACATAGTACATGGTGGTGTCGGCGGGCGCGGCGTCGGCAGCGGCGCTGCCCGGCGCGCTGGCCGCACTCGACAGCTGGCGCCGCAATCGAATGCCTTCCTCCCTGCAACGGCCAAGGTGCGTCAGTCAGCGGGGGCCGCCGGACTCGACGCAGTCACACCGCAGCCTGCCGCTGTCGCTGACCGCCTCCAAACGCGGCCACACACTCGACACGGCCAGAGCGGGGGCCGCTAACAACTGACGGCGGCAAAACAGAACTCGAGAGGACTGTTGGAACCCTCCAACTCAGCAGGGCCAGTGTGACACTGCCCAGAGGCAAGGGGTGGAGGCTTGCGCTCACCCGGACTAGTGGTCTAGTCCGGCGGAGCGGCGACACGATCAACAGGGCAGGTAGTACCCAGTGAGGTAGGACCGGGTGGGGCCAACAGTGACAGGGTCAGCGGGACCGGGATTACCCAGTGAGGCAGGACCGGTGTTAGATCCGGCGGGACCGACGGCATTTGGAAATGATTGTTTTAAGGCTTGTATCTGATTCTCGGCTTGTACATTCAATATCTGAATTGACAAGCCTACCATAATGCAGCAAAAGACTATCATAAGACTAAGGACGCAAAATGGCCACGTAGTCAACACGCCCAAAAGCAATAAATACTATCATCATATCATCAGACTAAATTGACATCGTTCCTGTGGACTCCACGTTTTCCCATCCACTCTCCTAACTTGACTACATCATGTTCTTATCCCATGTTTACACACAATGGCCTTGCATTTTGCCTGTTCGTGACGCCATTGGCGTTCGCGACCACACACCACTGGTGAGCTGGTGTATACTCCCCCTTCTCCCCCCCCCCCCCCCCCCCCCTCCCTCTCCCAGGCTATCCCAGAACCCGCTCAGCCAATTTGAATTATTCCAACATGAATTAAAAACAGGTCAAAATCATGGAATTTGAGGTGCTTTTTACAACCATTGCACGGCACGAAAATTTACTAGCTTTGCATTAGGGTTCAGTGAGGCTACAGCTGACCGATCGGCCACATAAGTGTGGCTGCCGTCGCTCGACTTACACACTGGCGGAGTGCATCAAACACGGACTTCGCCAATACCTTCATGATCGATAAACGACGCACTCATGCGAAAAGCAGCATCAAAATCGCCGCGTGGATCGCAGTCGGCTTGAGCTATTAAAGAGTGCGGTTAAATTTAGAAACGCATCCGATCTGGTCAGCGAAACCACACACATCTTTTACACGGTTGGACCCAGGCAAATCCACGGCCAGCGCTAGAGTGCCAATGACCTGCCGCTGATATCGCAGATTCTTTTACCAACACGATCCTGCGATGTGTCTTCATGATTCGTGTTGTCACTTTCTACGCCTCTGCCGCAGTGACGTAATGGTGGCACCACACTACGCAAACACAACGAAGTAAACTTACAATGTGAACCGATGCTCTGGGAGGGATCGGGCTTGTTAACCCCGTCTCCAACAATTTCTTAAATTACTGAGCATGACGTGCGAACAATGCACTTGAATTTTCAACAGCAGTCGCCCAGACGGGTGCAGCTCATCTCAGCAACTCGGGCAGCTCCTTAAGATTAGCATTGTAGCTTAACGGTCAGCCGCGGAAGAGGCGCCGTATGGGCGCAGGTTCGACATCCGGCATCAAACCCGACCGCGCACGCTTGTGGAATGGTGCGAAAAAGTAGCCCACCCGCCTCTCGCCATCTCCCACAAGCCACTTAAGAAAGATGACGAACACATACACCGACGCATACAAAGAAAGATGGTTTTGCCATTATTCAGCTTGAAGAATGGCACAACAAATGATCAATTATCTTTGTCTTCGACAATTTTACGACCTTTTATTCAATTAAGGAATAAAGGGATACGCCACCGGCGGCGGCATTGGGCCTAGTGCAGCACAGCACATATCTCACATACCCTGTCATCGCACCATGATCGAGCCGTCTCAAGCGGCGAATACGGCTGTTGCCAATGATCAGGCGATGTCAAAGTGACGCCTGACGATCCCACGCGGACAAACTCACCTGTGTAGTCTGCACAAGCATATTTCAGTGGCAAAGTGTGAAGAAATAATTATTTGACAGAAACCTCGGCAACATTCTAGTCTACATACCTGCCTTCAGTACAAAAATCAACATCTGATCCTGATGGCAGCACAATGAAGCACTCATTGTGAGTTTTCAGAAGGACTGCCCACGACCGTTTAAGTCAAGAATGTCACTTCCCAACCGCGAGGTTGATCCTTATTGCCTGAGGCTGGGCCGTCTGGCCGCAACACAAATGCAGAGATGTGTCACGAACATTCCGTAAAACAGAGCAAACAACTGAGGGCGTCGCGGAAAGCATCGCGGAGTCGGCGGTGGAGTCGGCCGTCCCGAGCACTCACCCTGAGCTGTAGATTTTCGCCGCGGGCACTGCTCAGGTCCTCCCGCAGCTTGCGCAGCTCCTCCGTCGCCATCTTCATGTCCTTCGGCTCCGGCTGCCGGTCAGCGCGAGCCGCTGTCAAGCTACTGGCCCCGGTGCCGACGGCAGCGACGACGACGGCACTCATCGCGCCTCGCGCAAGCGGCACAACGCTCGACGCTCGCAGCCTGCGCCGAGGAGTGGTGCGCAGCACACGGCGGGTGGGAAGCTGTTACTTACGATGCTACGATGCCACATACGGCACGGAACACCCCGCAGGTTACTGTGACGACCCAGACGTCGTCGAGCGCTCCTGTACGTCACTATCGGTTATTAAACATATTCCAGCACCATGTCGTTGCACATTCGCTGGGAAAATGCACACAAAACTTTCCAGCCGCCGTGACCAGGGGCCGACAGGTTGTGCCGAGGCACAGGCCGCGGCCGCGCGTCACACCGGGGCGACGTGACCCCGCACGCACCCTGTTGACCAGATCCTCCTGTGCATCCGCCGGCAGCTCGAACACGCAGCGCATCTTGTTCGAGGTCATGATCTGCTCCGGACTGGCAGTCTTCCACTGAAACCAGCCGCACCGAACTTCGGTCAGTCCAACCTCTGCAACAATACGCTCCTCTATGGGTTGATAACACCGCTTTGCACTCATCCCAGAGGACTAGCATAACCATTTAAACCTGTCAGCGAACAGAGGGGCCCCATCTCCGATAGGCAAAATAAAGAACAGACGGCGAAGAGCCCCTTCACTGCAGTACATCTGCCTACGCACTGAGGGATACATTTCATAAGCTCTTCACATTGCTCTTTATATTTGCCCAAACACAGTAATTCAAGCAATTAGTTTCACGCCAATCGGGCAATGCTTCTGGGCCACGTAAACCGGTCCAGCAATGAGCTTTCATGGCCCACGTGAATTGCGTTAGCTTCCAGCATTGATTTCAAACCATTTCTGGTACTATCGGCTCAAGCTGGTTAATGTCAAAAATGTAACGCGAACATAATCATAATATACAATGGCAGTGTTGGGAATTCCAAAAATTTTCATGGTAGCGGAGTACAAATTTTCTACAGTGAGAGATAACAGTACAATGGGTGGCACTCAACAAAATCGTCACTTTTCGTACGCAGCAATTCATGTAAAACCACTTTAAAGGAAAGAAAACATAAACATTAAACATGGCACACTGGAAACAACACGATCGCATACCCTGTGCGATGAAACACATGTTCATATACATTGGTTTGCAATTTATGAAAGACTCTGTGTGTACACTCTCCAAAACGGAGGGTAATTACGCATCGGGCTGATACACTCTCCAAAATGGAGGGTGGCTACACACCCGGCTTATACACCCTCCAAAATGGAGGGTGGGTACCATACCCACAGCCAGACAAAAATGGTACACAAAAAAATGCAAATGAACATGCCACGGACGGCCACCTACTCATGCTCCACCACGATCACGCTACTGACGCTCCACCACGGTCACGCTCCTCACGCTCCACCAGCTAACTGGTTTTAAAAGCAGCTAAACATACATGTCCTCCACCTTCCCACTACCGACCAACACACGAGGCCCTGCACGTCCCATGCGAAAAATAGAGACAGGCAACACTCTTAAGCGATTTACCGACCCAGCGCAAGTACAATGCCTGACAGACCCGTGTAGGTCGGCCAAAGGGATCAGAGTCAGTCACTCCGCTGACTCCGGCGGATAATGCAAGGTATTAATGGATTTTGATGCGCTTTAATCGCTACTGTTGTGAAATATGATAATTTAGGTTGCAATTAATTGATGTTTTTGTCCTAATAAACCCTTCTCCATAATTTGCCGAGCCAAAGTTATGGGCTCATGCTACTCTGGTGTCCTGGTGCTTTTGCCGGAGTGAGATGGCTGTCTCCGAAGTTTTTTTGGCTATCTACAGCAACGTTTTTCGACTTAAAGGTTTTTGCAGAGCCTGAATTACCAGCTTTAATTTCCACCCTTAAGTGACAAATTCAACTTGATTTAAATCCACAACTGACATAACATTTTTGTACTCCAGATACCAGGAAGTGACCCAAAATCCAACCACATGGCGGTTCTGGATGAGTACAAATAAGTCCTTCATAATCATGATGTCCATCTCTATACATCCCTCCACATGTTTACGAACCTGTTCAAGGCATGAGCGTGAGCAGAATATTTATGCTCTTGACAAATCAGTCACGAGGAGGTGACTCATTGAAAACAATCGGGGAGTTTTACTATGTTCAACCTCCAACCTGAGCTGGGAGGCGGGCGCGAGCCGCTGAATAGTTGAAATGTTTCCGACGCCGAATTGCGACTGATTCTGTTATTTGTATTGCTATGACACAGCGGTGGCGCGTGGGTAGGCGGCCGTCTGTGGTAGGTAATTGGGCATGCGGTTTTCCATGAACGTTTGTTGCATCCTTGGCAATTAATGCGGCTCCTCGTCAATGGTAGGTTAAGCCATGTTCAAGTTTGAGTTGGTCTGCGTAGGGCATAGGAAGTGAGAGCTTTGCTAATCTAAAGACCTGTGTGATTCTGGTACTCGTTTCTCATTTCCCAGTATTGTTCAAAGGCGATTCCATTGAACATTCACATGCTTTATTTTTCACATTTTGATACATGGTTTATCACATACCTAGAAAGCGACACAGGCTGCTTCCTATTGGGCATCTTAGTCTGGTGGGTACACAATTTGTGCTCTTGCAGATATCAATACATGGCTTCTGATGGAAGCAGCAAGTCTCAAGCCGTCGCACCTTCTGGTTTTATTTTTTCCTGACACAAAGAGGTAAAATGAGTTTTTCCAAAGGCTGTTTTTGTTGCATCATGATGGAGTACAAAATATTTAATTAGACCTAGTCACAATCCTGAAGTAGGAAACCTCCTGGTATACATTATACCAGGAAATGTCAAGTTTTCCAACACTGTACAATAAAGTTGTTGAGCTGGGCCCAAATACATAAATACATCTAGCTCAAGAGGCGAACCGAGGCCAGCATATCGATGCTCGTTTATTGTTTGCAGTCGATGTACCGTTGTCCTTTTCGGTAGAATTCAGCCAATACCCGCCATATCATACCGAACAAATGGGTCCATCTGTTCATGAACTGAACATCTGGAACATCTGTTCCTGTTACACAGGAAATAACCAAGCACTCGTCCCCCTCCCCAACCCTTGCTTTCAGCATGTCAATCATGCTCGGCACGGTGAGGTGTCCGAGCTAGGGCAATACCTGAACAGTTCAGGCTTTCCTGCACACATACCAGGGCAGCGGATCTAACCCAGAAACATATGGGTGGTTGCCCCCGGACCACATCCTCGCCTATCGGGCTTCAGACGTCACCGTAGTTATTATGATAAGAGACGGCCACCGGCATTGTGACAGCTACACGCGCCCAATCAATGTCTTACATACTCTGCATTGCAGCCGCGTACAACTATCTCAGGCAGCAAATGCCTGAAAAAACATTTTGGCTGTTTTGTTCACTGCCATCCTTCAGGCTTGCACCCGATCTAAGTTCCCACAGAGGAAAAGCGAACAAATAACTTCTCTCCACATCACAAATCACTTCTCCGTATCCGTACATCACGTCAACATCGCAAGACCAAGCCAACCAACCAACAGGCACAGAGTTCTAGGGCCTTCCCAGTCTCTAGCAAAAAAGGTGCACATTAGCTCTAAATGCAGACCATCTAATCATTCCCTCCCATGAGTTTGGCACCAATCTGCCTCCAGGAACATCTCACTGGTCTGCCTAGAATCTCAAAATCACAGATTGGTTCCTTTTATGCAATGCAGGGAGGTAAAAGCCTGAAGATCATGACAACATTTCCTCCTCAGAGTGTGTAATAGGTGTTTGCAGAAGCTCCAATGACAGGAATGCTGTAAGCCTTCTTGCCTTCATCCAGCAATGACATAAATCAAGGGGTCATATGTCTGAACCATGCAAATGAAATAAATTGCAATCTAAATGCATGCCAGAAACATGGGTATCACAGCACCTACCTCAACAGATCCACCTTGATGACATAAATGTTCAAACATTGCCTGAGGTACCTCATGAATGTACATTATGGTTGTGCCAAAATTAGTTTTCACCAGTACCTCCAATATTATGGGCAAACACATGTCCAACTCACCTTTGGATAAACTGTGACATCATGGGGTTTCAGTGACATGACTTACTGACACATGATCAAAACACAAATGTTCTTTTTCCAGTGAAAACAGTGGCATATGCTAGGAATCTCTGTGAGTGCTGAAGCCCATAAGAACTGCAATGATCCCCAACTAACATACCAGGGTCTCCAACTCCACCTCCTCTCCCTCAGGCAGGAACATCGTCTGTACCATGAACTTGTGTTTGTTTTTCTCCGCAGGATCGTAATCGAATGGCTGAAGCATTACTGCAAAACAGAAAATGGCAGTAGCATTTGAATGATGGAACAAGGGAACATGATCACAATGCAATGTAATACCATCACGTGGCCACCTCAGCCAGGTTCAGCACCATGTCCAGTGCCATTTAAACAACAGGACAGAAAAATATAATCACAACACAACACAACACAACACCATGGCACAGTCACCTCAGGCTGGTTGAGCACCATTCCCTAACAGCTGGCTCATGATGACTGCATAATGACAAAATAGCTCACCTCTCTCTATAAAAAGTAGACACCCCTTTGCATCTGTCATGAGGCCCCAATCTTATCTCCTACATGCAAACATCTGCACCTGGTGTGGATTTTGAAGCTGATTGGTGCTTACATGCATGCAAAAGTTTCTCTGGATAATCAACACAAACACTCAGTCAACTGAGCCCTAATTTTACAGTTCAGTTACAGCAGTTCCACACAGTGTTCTAATATTGTGATATTCATGACTTAATTCTAAGCACCCTAAAGCCTTTCACACTAAATTGATTGGATAATTGGGTTGCATCTGAAATAGGTTATGGGCTTGATTACAGGGGTGCAACTGTAGTACAGGCCCTGTTCAAAATGTCATCCTTAGTTGTCAATAAACTGCTATTAAAACACAAATAAAAATGCAGCTCCAACAATTTGGTCCCAAATTATTGTAAGAAACACATTGTGCCTAAACAAGTTATAAATAATAAAAAATAATCAGTTTTACACCAAAAAAATATTGGACACAGTGAAACAGATGAATAGTTTAAAATAGCTGTCTACACTGGAGAAACATAAATCTGTGGCATCATGGCATGTGATTTTCCCTCACAGTATATTCAATGATAATCTGGGTTGAGTGCCCAAAACAAGACATATTGTACAAGCTAGCACTCAGAATGCAAAAGGGTCAATACCACTCATACCTGCAATGTTGACTGTGGCTCCTGGCTCCACTATACCCTGGTTTGGTCGCACACAATATCTCTTTGGTGCAGTGGTCTTGATCTTGAAAGTGATCTTCTTGTCTGATGTATTGGTAAGGGTCAAGCTACTGCTAGACACTTCATCTTTAAATGGGCCTGAAAAGTCATTTGCTGTTAAATTCTCTATACAACACTTCAACAGAAAAACTATACTCAACATCCAAGGGCCTATTGTTGCATCCACATATGCCATGCATGACAAAGCTGATACATCCACATCAGCTGATATTTTTGAAATGGTCAAATAGCGTACCTGTGCAACATATATGAACATAGCAAAATGACAAGTCAGCAAACTCAAATGTGTCTGCCAGACAAAGACATCAGTTCCAATCATGGGAAATCTTTAAAGGACAGAACACAAAAAGCAAATCAACAAGCTTGATCACATCTGATGGCTGCGATAACAAAGTGTTGTTCAGAAACCCTTAAAGACAATAATGAATATCACAAATTGGTTGCAACAATAATGTCCATTTCATTGGTCTCTTAAAATTATCCCTGCCTTTGCAACTGCCCTCAGCTCCTCTGGAAAGCTGTACATGAATATATTCACAAATATGAATTCAAAATGAGTCAAGGGTCTGTCTGCACATGACAAACATTCCTTTTTGCTCCTGTGGGTTAATGTGGAGCCATTCCATCATGCATGCTTTTGATGTTCCAAATGGCAATAAACCATGCTACCAATAGTGCTCATTATTTGATCTTCAATTAAGTTGCAAAACAACCATGCTAACAATATTTCCTAGTTACTTGAGATTAAAGCAGTCATAAGTAAAGAAAAACTTTTGAAGTATGCCTTTCTCCAACTTTTCTCTGACCAAACTACATTCTTTAAACCTGCCTCTAAAGCTGCACAATTATGTAAAAGTAAGTAGATGTTACTATGGGCACTGCATGACCTATGGCACTTGATGCGCCCTACAACCCCAAATCATCATCATCATCATCATCAAGTAATGTTACTGAATCAATGGTAATTTTGATCTTACTGACAAGCATGTCAGAGATCTTCCTGGTATCAAATGATACTCAAGTATCTTTCTAACCACTTTTAACGTAAGAGCTTGGATCTTATTTCTGCTGCAATGATCTCGACCATTTGCACATTATGTTCTTACAATCGGACATTTCATAAATGTATGTCATCCCAATATGCAAAGCCTGCTGGGAGACATTGCTCATTATCTCTCAATCAAAACACTTCAGCAACATAGCTAGCGAAGCACCCTTTAAAATAATCTCAAGTGATATTTTTTACCGTCAAATATGGACACAAAACCATGATATAGTTGAACTTGTGCCCATCCCCAACTGCAGCACACCTATCGGCGAAACTGGCGCACAAGCATTACCTTTGAATCGCAACTCCTGCGAAGGCTCGATGACTAAGAAGTTATCCGACGTCGACATGTTGGTACACTATTCGCTAGAAAACAACTTATAACCAAAGAAACACTGATGCACAACAAATTTTCGATCGCGCTCCACGTCCCACTCCACCCCCTACCACAAACAAGCGAACTGTACTGAACGTAACTGCGCATGCGTTGTCAGTTGTACCAGAGAAAAATGCTTTTTTTTCGTTATTCAAGAGAACTTAAAATAGCTTTATGAAACAACGACAAAAATTATGCGCAAAGTTTCAATGTTTATTTAACGGCCTAAAGTATACTGAGTGGTACTGGTTACCCGGCGTTGCAGTGCAAAATGACAATAAATTTGACGATGTTCAAAATTTCAAGTTGTCCTCACTGCTTATCGTCAAAGGGTGACAAGAGTTGAGAAAGGCTGCTTGAAAATAAAAGACGCGAATCCGGAAAACGTTCCTTACAACGGGTGTCAATTTGTAATATTTTGGGTGGGTCATTTGCTCCCTCCCCTCCCCCAACCACCCACTCCATGTCAAAGTTGGCCTCCCAACTGTGAGTTTGCCTCACCCCCAACTTTCTTGAGCCTTGAGCCCAAGTATAAGAACGAGTGCCGCACATTAAAAACAGGAGCTCAAAATTATCATAATTTCAATGACGGCTGTTCATAAGTATTTCATTTTTCAATGGAAAAGAAACTGAAACCTGTGATGTCATGTTTGGTTAAGTGCAACTGACTGATGTGCACACTTTTGGAGCTCCGCTTTTGCATGGCGTTACGATGTTTTGTTGACTCTGGTTTAGTGTTGTGGCATTGTTCGAGTGTTTTGTCACTATTCAGCAATGTTTCCATGCGTTACATATTGCAGCATGCTGCGTTATTCTGCCTCGACGTCTTATCGAAGAACGGTACAAACCGGTTGAATATCAGCCCCCAAAACGTGACAAAGCCGCCTAAGTGCCGAACGAGGGTGCCGAGAGTCCAGGGCCATGCGATTGTGTCGAAGATGGGATCTTTCTCTTGTACATTGCACAGTGGGTGCGGTCGGCGATGGCCATGGACCATCACATATTTAACTAGATGCACGAGGACAGCCAGACATCTCGTGCGTCAAGTTCGTCAGTTGTTGAGACTTCTCCCGCTAACCCAGATTGTATACGCACTAGCGCTCCAGTTGCCCAGTGAAACTGAATCATCACTGGACGTGGTTGTCAGCCAAACTCCCCGAACGTATACAACACACGGGTATCGTACCCAGCCCCTGCAATGGCCCACTTGGCCACTTCTACACCGAACATAGAACGCGAGGAAAAAACAGAGAAACAACATGCACATCCATGGTCGAACGAACACTGATGTGCTTCTACAGGACCTGGCTGGGGCCGACTGGAGCGCTGCCCTAATGCCTTTTCATCAGATGAACAGTGGGGGGGGGGGGGAGGGGGGGGGGCGTTCCTGACCATTGCGAAGCCGCTGCTTGACAAACTTTCCGCGTAGCGAGAAATATGGATTCACAGCCAGCCAGCTGGTTCTGTATCGGCCGCGATTAAGGACCTTATGGCATAATGACGCCTCACACCACCCTGGGTCTGTTTAGTTCTTTTGTTAGCATCTATGCATATTATTAGCTGCAGTTTTGCATGGTGGCTATGGAAGTGGCAAAAATCACTTTGTAAGACTGATGGTTAGATCTGGCCACATCAGGCAGCTTCAAATAAATCTCGCTCATTCTCATACAAAACTTATGCTAAACGAGAAGCTGGTGTGCAAGAAGCCTACGACGCATTTCACATCGCATGTTCTGATATATCTACCCAGCACAGACTTCGTAGGAGTCATTTTCCTGAGACAGCAATATTGAGCATTTCAGACAGCACATTCGTACCATAAATGTCGGCTAGGTGGCGTTGATGTGACAAGTTAAGGTATTAAAGGCCGTGTCTGCCACCTACTGCAGGAAGCACTGGGATCCCTCAAAAAGTTACGCCTATGACTAATGGATTACCTTCAACAGCATTTACAATAAACAAAAGGTTATAACTCGGGCGGCGGCACTCACCCCGATGCCTACAGTGTGTGCCAGAGGTGCCGTTTTCTGGAAGTTGATGTGCAGTGGTAAATCCAAACTCCAGAGATTGACAAGCCGCCTGTCCAAGAGGTGTGAAAAATCAGGTTGTTTAAAAACGCTTAACTTCAAAATGAAAAAAATAACTAACATCCGTCCCATTAGCTTAGTTGGTGGGAGCGCCTGCCCTCCGGTCCAACCACCCGCAGCGCGTTGGTTCGAGTCGTTTTCGGCGCTCGCTACTTGCCCTTGACAGACATGGTTCTCGGTCAGTGGCAGTGGCCATGCTAAAGAGCACGTGACGTCAGAGGGCAGGACGAACCGTGCCGAGATTTGAGGCGGGTCAAAATGTCGCCTCCAAAATCTGCTGTTGACTCGGAATGACTCGATCGGGTGGTAGGGGTTAGGGCTCACACACCAGACACCGCTTAGCGTTAGCTCCGATTCCAGACATCCATCAATTGAAGAGTTTCACGTTAAATCTTCATAAATAACTACTACCTAGACCCAATAAACACAGTCGGTAACCGCGTCGCTGTATTCACTCACCCGACTCAAATGAAAATAATGAAAATGGTCGGGGGTAAGTGATGTGTATCGCAGGCTTTCGTGACCACGTCAATAATTCATGCTTCACGCCGATGTCTGCTAAGTTCGGCTATCATTAAGCTCGAGGACGGCAGCTTAGTCGGATGATGAGTGGAAACGTGGTAAACGATGATGAGTGGAACTAGGTAAGTAATGAGTATCACAGGCGCCCCGTGAAGAGATCTGCATGGGTGCCCCCTAAGCTCAACGGCGGAAACTAGGCCGGATCAGATGGTATCGTGACTAGGTTAGTTATGTGTCTCACAAGCTGTCGTGATGGCCAGACATCGATGTCCGCTCAACTTGATTATCATTAAGCTCGACGACTGCAACGTGCTCGACAATCAAAGCTACAGTCTGCACTTACCGCTGCGTGCTACTGGTCCGCACTGGTTGGTTTAAGCTCACAGTAGGCCCCTATCGTCCCTGATCACTGGCAGGTCATCCCATGTTCCATTATTCGATATCTCATGTTTCAACAGAGATAGTTCTTTCCGATGATTTTTACCGCAATCTTCATAAAACCCGTTGTGCGCCACGATCGCTCAGTTGGTAGTGCGGCTGCTCTCCGATCCTCCCACCCTAGGGAAGGAGGGTGGGCTCGAGTTGCTTTAAATGCCTAGCTATTTGGCCTTGACAGACATGGCCTGTGGCCAGTGTCAGCGGGCGCGCGAATGGTCGGTTGACGTCATATTGCAGGACAGACCGGGCCGAGCATTGCGGCTCGTACAATTTTCGCCACCAATTTATGCTGGTGATCTGGAGCTGCGTGATCGGATGGTGGGGTGTCAGAGCTTACACAGCAAGCACTGGTTAGCGTGAATTTCGATCCCAGAAATCCCTCCGCTCAAAAGGATTTAATTAAGATTAAAAGGGTTTTATTGGGCTTCGGCTTGCTTCATCCCCCTCCCCCACACAATGCCGTCACATACCGTTTTTCCATGAAATGTACCGTAGAATTTCACTCAGTAAGCGTTACAAGGTCTGGGTAGCGACTGAGGTTACATCGCGCTCCGGTGGGGGGTGGGCAAAATTATTCCACTCCTACTGGAGATTTACCGGTACAAATTTGGAACGGTGGAGCATAGCTGCATCAGGCTTGGTTTAACTGTCAGCTATTGAATAGCCGATCTTTTCATACGCAAATTAGATATATTTTGCAAGGTCGCTGGATTATAGCAGATCAAAGTCAGGTCATTGCTGTCAGCGAAGGCGATTCTTAGGGAATCGTTCGTGATGACGTGACGATGAAGTGGCGGACATACGGCAATCGCCTATAAATTTGTCAACACGCTCTCGGATGGGAGCTCAAATTCCCTCCAAAAGTTCCCCCCAAAGGTTTTTCCAGAATAATTTATGAACGGCGGGTTGCAGCCGCGCCGAGCTTTGCATAGTCGGAGAGAATTGAATAGCAGATATTTTGATTGAAAATAAAATTTGTTGTACCAGGTATGGTTGCTGACCTATGGCAGTTCAAAGTCAGGCCTTAGCTGTCATTGAAGGGCTTTTCTAGGGAATCGTTATATGTGATGCAACAACGGAGCGTTAGACGAAGTCACGTCTATCTGAGATAGTTTCTTAGGCAATAAACGAATTGAATTTACAATTAAAATCAATTTCACTGACCTAGGGTCAGGCATAAAGATCAGTCCGAGGTAAAACTAACTTGCTTTTCTGTTCGAGAGCTTAGCTTCATGGGACAGTTTCTGGTACTCATTTCGAGTTTATCAATGACAGGGAGCGCATCAAACATGTTCCATGGGTTTTTTAAAGATCAGAGTAGGTCACTGAATTAAAATAACCCAGGCCAACATTTCGTTCTAGGAACACATCACGTAGCGTAATCCCTGGCGCTTATTCGAATACCTTGGCAAAAGAGTAGCAATCTTGTAGTTATTTGGTCACCTTTACCTC